TGAACTCCTGAAAGTCCAGCATGCAGAAAACACGGAGTCAAATGAAAATGCTTCATGCAAACATGAAACTGCACAACATGCTGTGAGTCAGGGCGGAGAGGTTAAAACAAGCCAGTGCAGAGACAGTAGTTTTAATGAGGTCTGCAGTGTTTTAACGCTGAGGTTGAAAGAATGTACTTATTGTAAGAAAGTCTGACCTTCCTCTTGAACACTTCAGTGCGGTTGTGACACTTGAAGATGCTGCAATGGAGCTGAAAACCATTTTTACCACATACTGCTGAAGACACACAAGCAAGCTGTCCATCATGTGTCAATAAAACCGATGAAGAAAGGCAAAATGTGACGAAGCTGCACACAGTTTGCACGCACACACGGAAACACAATGATGTTTGTGTAGTTTAGAAGAGACCAAATCAAAACCATGAAGGAAATCTGATCTTCCACAAAACACAGAGTACTAACATGTATTTGGGGTCACGCTGTCAGAAGATAAAGATGGGAACAGCTCAAACATACCTGTGTGTTCTATATGCAGTTGAATCGTTGCTACAGAGAAACACTGGTGACATTTCAGACCCGTAAATCTGCTTTTCAGTTCAGTGCAGTGGAATAAACTCACCGAATCTCAACACAAATATAACTCATAATAATTGATTTTCACTCAGTGCAGACTGTGTATGCTTTACCTAATGAAAAGAGTCAGATGAAGCATTCTGTCTTATAACCTTTGAGCCTTTCATCTCACGTGGCTCTGTAACATACAGTAAACTTCACTGCTGACGAGCTCTGTGACTTCAAAGTACTTCAAGCAAAAGTATATCTGTAAGCTTAAAACTGGAAACAAACACTAGGAGCTCATCACCGTCTCCAGGCTTTATCTAACTGAGCTGTTTACTTGGTGATGAGACAAAACACAGTTCAGGAACAGCAAACACACTTTTATAAAAATCTGCTGAAACTTTATCTCTGAATCTCAAGTGATAAAGATGACTGATGGTTTAATAGTCCTTAAGCTCTCAGTCGGCTGTTATCAAAGATGATTATATCTATATCCCACATATTCAATAGATTAGTGAGCATGAGCTCACTTCAGAGATGTTCTCCTGTCTGCAGCTGCGTCCAGCATCCAACCAGTAGCATCAGCAGCACATTAAACCATAAGTTAACTTCCATATGAAGGCTGTGATTGACAGATATAGGTTTTGTAGTCGAAGAGTGAGAAAAAAAACACAACAAAACAAAACATCGCTTTACTAATAATATAATAATAATAATAATAATAAAAAAAAAAGCAGAGTCCCATGAAAGCCAGATGTCCCAGTTCTGCACCAGCACTTAAACGCAGCTTACATTTGTGGGTCGGGTAGCGTGAAAAGTGCCCCCCCCCCCAC